GTGCCTAGTGAGACTCCTGCCCCTGCTGCCCTGGCTTCCTGGCCATGACAGACTACACCTCTTCAGAAGTGTAAGCCAAAACAAACCCTTCTTTACTTAATTTGTTCTGTTTGGGTGTTTTGTCACATCAGTGATGGAAGTGACCAAGACAGAGGCAGAAGAAACTTTAGGAGTTGGGGACCACTTGAGCAAAATAGGTCACTGGGCATATCCTTGAAGAATGTAGTCTCTAGTCTCCCCCATTCCTTCCTCTCCCTCTCTTTCTCTCTCTACCTTATTTCTCTTTCTTTCTTTCTTTCTTTCTTTCTTTCTTTCTTTCTTCCTTCCTTCCTTCCTTTCTTTCTTTCTTTCTTTCTTTCTTTCTTTCTTTCTTTCTCTCTCTCTCTCTCTCTCTCTCTCTCTCTCTCTCTCTCTCTCTCTCTCTCTCTCCTCTTCCTTCCTTCCTTCCTTCCTTACTTACCTTATACCCCTCTTTCCATCTTCCTGCCTTCCTACTTCCAATTTCCACGCATTGAGCCCATCTGTCCAGTCGTGTGCTGTGCTTCCTTCCTTTATCATTTGCCTTAGCAAACCCATAGCAATGTGGCCGAATGATCAAGGGCTGAGGCTACTGAAACCATGACTCTTACACCTCATCCTTCCTCTTTTTAAGCTGTTTGTTTAAGGTATAGTGTGTGCGTATGCACTTGTATGTTCAGGTGTATAGTATATATGTGCATAGGTGAACACATATATGAATATACACACATATGGAGGCCAGAAGGCAACCTTGGATATCATTTCTCAGGTGCCATCTACTTGCTTTTAGAGACAGGGCTTCTCATCGGTTTGAGCTAGCCAATGCAAGGTTGGCTATCCAGACAGTTCCAAGAATTTCTCCACCAGCTCAGTGCTGGGGTTATCAGCGCTTGTCACCATACGTGGCTTTTGTGTGCAGGTTGTAGTTCTAGAACTCAGCCCTTCATGCTCGCAAGCAAATCCTTTACTTACTGACCAATTTCTCCAGCTCTGCCTCACAGATTCTGTTATAGGATGGAAAGCTAGTAACACACAGGGTTAGGTGTCACTTTTTCAGGAAACCTTCTTAGACCCTCCCACAAAGGTAGCTCTTTGCATTTCCCTTGAACTCTGGGTATTTTTCCCAATACCCTGTCTACTCTCATGACTTGTTCACTCTGTGTCCTTCCATCACGGCATTAGTCCCTACTGGAGACTGTACATCCTCTCTTCTTCACAATATCGACAAACCTGGCTGTCTACAAGACATGGCACATGACTCCGAGAAGGAACTTCAAATGTGCATATTAAATTACAAGCAAATTGCTTCTCAGCCTTTTGGCCAGGATCACGGGTAAATTTCAAATGAAATGACATTTTTGCATTTTACTTCATTTTGCAAAATAATAACCGTGCAGAAGTTATATGTCCACAGTGATGTTACATTCTACCAAAACATTTCAGGAGATCAGCGTCCTCAATATACCTTGAGATGGTAAGGTTGGAAATCATTTCTGGGTTACTAATGAGTTGGATGAGAATAAATGACTTCACGGACATACATCCAACATGGGGCAGGGCTGAACCTTGAAGTTTTGTTCTGCTGCCTTGTTCCCCATTTGCCATTGTCTACTGTGCTCCATGTTTTACTATAGAATGTTTCCAAGGATAAAAAAAATCATTATGGTGTAACAAATCTTTCTCTGTCCCTCTGACCAGCTCCCAAATAATGGCACAGAGACATATTAATTATGAAATCCCAGCCTATACCTTAGGTTTGTTCCTAACTAACTCTTATATCTTAAATTAACCCATATGTCTAAAGCTATGTTCTACTATGTGGCTTTGTACCTTTCTTTCATTCTGTAACTCCTATTTGTTCTGAGTCTCCTGGCATCTCCCATGAACATAGATTCCTCTTCTTCTTTCTTTCTGCCTGGAAGTCCTGCCTATACATCCTGCGTAGCTATTGGCCATTCAGCTCTTTATTGAGCCAATCAGAAGGCAGTCACATCTTTACAATGTAAACAAATATTCCCCAACATTATGGAATCTCGAAAGTTTCTTCTTCCTTCCTGTGAGCTTTTGACATCATAGCAGGTGTACTATTAAATTCTTGTTGTTGTTGTTGCTGTCATCTTTTCTTATTAATTAAGTTTCTTTATTAATTTGACATCGCATCCTCAGTTTCCCCTTCTTCCTCTTCTCTCATCCCTCCCGCACCTCCTCTGTTTCTGTTCAGAAAGGGGCAGGCCTCCCATGGGTGTCAACAAAGCATGGCATATCAAGTTGAGGTAGCACTAAATTCCTCCCTTTGTGTTGAGGCTGGGTGAGGCAACTCAGTATGGGGAACAGGTTCCCAAAAGCCAGGGGAAGCATTAGGGACAGGCCGTGATTCCACTGCTAGGGGTCCCACAAACAGAACAAGCTTCATAACTGTCACACATATGTAGAGGGCTTAGGTCTGTCCCACGCCTGTACTAATAGAATTAGGATTCAGGCCCTCTTCAATTAAGTTTTCACAAAGAGGTGGGGGGAAAGAAAATCTTGAAGCTCTTCTCCCAAAAGATCAAGCGACTCTTTGTTGGCCTCATGAGAACTCAGCAGACAATGTGTCTTGACAAGGCCTTCCCTGCTTTCTCTGGCATCATTTTGATTTTCAGTAAGCATTGTAGAAAATGATTGACAATGCAGGCAGAAAGATACAGGGAGGTTGCAGAAGGCACGTGTATAGGTGCGTGCGTGTGTGTGTGTGTGTGTGTGTGTGTGTGTGTGTGTGAATTTAAAGCATCTGGAAAAGGTGCCTTGGGCACAGTGAAAAACTTGTCATCACAATTGTAGTGACATTTTTTACAGCTACTATAATTGAAATATACCTGGCATAGGCATTAATTAGGACAGATTTTCTTCTGGAAGTTGTAGGCAATACAGTTGTTAGCCTGTTTTCCACTTTCAAGCCTTCCCTTCTCTGGGCAGTTTCAATCATTAGATGCCGTAAGCACAGGGGTATATTTATGGACAGGTGCAGTGAGGCATCACTCCTTGATTGTAAAACACAGAAAAGGAAGATAAAGGTCCTTTATGTGTAACCAAAAGCAAAATACACAAGGCAGGTTGGACATGAAAGATGATATCTTGATAGCTGCTACATTCAATAAGATCCATGCCTTAGGTTTAAGCACTGATAGCGCGACGATGTAGGATTAATGCCAAAAGGAACCCAATTAATTACACACAGTATCTCAGAGTCTCAGTTTCCACATCCTGATGGGTTTTTTTTTTTGTTTGCTTGTTTGAGTATATTAACCTGTTAGTGATGTTGTCGAGAAGATGAATCAAAATCACGTGTATAAATGACATGGCTTTTTAACATGTCACGGGCAGACTGTGGTGTTCGTGGTTCCTGTGCATATTGTGGTTCCTGCACATGTTGAAGATACTGAAGGGGAAGACTGTGGAGATGGAGGGAGAAGTGCAGAAGTCACAAACACTTCAAGAGGAGTTGTTTTCTAGATTTGACAGACTGCAACTGCTGACAGATGTGGGAACCCAGCTAGCTTTCACAATTTGGATACAACAAAGCTAAGAAAATATGTGCTGAAATTATTTCCTATAATCTTGATAAGAGCAAGGCGTCATCAATAAATATATATTTAAAGCAAGGATAAAATTTTCAGCAGTTTTTCAAATCCAAGTGTCTTTCAGGAGTGCAGGATGCCTTTCAAATAAGTTTAGGTTCCTCAACCAAGTGGATAGAAACACACACACACACACACACACACACACACACACACACATACACACACAAGCCATAGTTAAACCATTTCTCATAGCTCCTGGTGGGAAAACATGTCAATTTGAATCATTTGTTTTACCTGGGCTGTTACATTGTCTTTGGAGACATTAATGCTGATCAGTAAACATTACTGTGCTCTATGTAAAGAGTTTGGAAGTTTAGACCCCCTGCACTTAGTATAGGCATACAGGCTAAGACTTACATGTATATAATAGTGGCTTGTTCTGGAGCACAATGTCCTAGTTGATCTATTAACTGCTTCATTCTTCACCATCTCTGGACACAAATAGAGCCTATTAATTGTGCTTTCTTTTATCAACCATGTTAACTGCCATTTGGCTTTCTGCCCTGACATTCTTATCATAACCCAATATATGAATAAGATAACACCCTAACTGAAGAGAAATCATGTGAAGATATGCAGAAAAAATTCAAGACCAGTTTTGAAGATTTCAAAAGAAAGACAAAATATGATTTCAAATGTTATGCTGATGTGTATTTCTCTGCATAAAAATATATGGAAGTTTATACATTTTCATCTCTGAAAATAACTGTTGATATGCCTTTCTTTATAGGGTATAAAAGTGGATATGTGTGCTTAAATACTCTTTCCCCAAAGATCCAATCACAATTTTTGTGTTGATTGCAGAAAAGCACAACCATTTTGTCTGTAGTAAAAAGTCTATATATTTGTTGTATTTGCATTCAAACAAATATGGCCAACACTACCAGCCTAGTGTTTATCTTCTCATGTTATGAAACTCATAAAGAAGATAAATATGAAGAAGACAGAATGTGTAAGAGACTAAGACAAAGAATGGCAGAACTCATTAGCAGCAGAACACGTAACATGGCTTGGAATTACATCCAACATACCATGAACATAATTCATCTCTCAGGATCAAGAGATAATTCTTTGTATCTTTGACACTCATCTTAATAAGGGCAGGAAGACATTGACATTGTAGGGTAGTGTGGTGCACTCTTATTCCTTTTAGCTGACTCATGATTTCCACCATTTTCAAGTGCTGATTTGAGTCAAGTATCCTGAGTCCCTCACTCTGAGTTCTGCCAGTCATCAGCAGATTGGTGACAGGCCACAGTTCCTCAGAAGGACAGTGTGAAGGGTGAGTGTAGGTGGGGGGAATGCAGAATTGCAATCTGTGGCTTCCTTTGACTTCTAAAATAATTTCTTAATTATTTCTAGATAATTTCCTAAACTGAAAACAGTAAAATTTGATGACTACTCCTAGGCAAAATGAATCAAAGGATGGAGACAACAGGAAGACTAGAAGATCTGGCTACCTGTGTAGACATAAGCATAATATTGACATGTAAGTAGCCAATGGAATTCTCTGCATTTGAATTCTTCTAAGAGTGAGGTTGGTGTATCACACCTAGAAAGTAGTTTGGTTACATGTGTGAAGACACACACACACACACACACACACACACACACACACACACACACACACACGGAGAGAGACAAACACCAACACACACATACATAATGGATAAATAAATAAATAAATATTAATTTTTTTTAAAGAACTTGAGACAAGATCTTGCTACGCAGCCCAGACTTGCCTTGAACTTGTCAATGTGTGGTCCTCCTGCCTCAGCCTCCTAAATGCCAGGATTACAGGCTTATGTCACCTACCTGTTAACTTATGATTTGGGATTTATTTCAAGATGGAAATGGATAGAAGCTAAAAGGCAAAGATATAGTGGAGCACTATTAAGTGGAAAAAGAAGGAAAGGAAAGTTACATGTGTGACAAGATGCATGTCTAATTCATGCAGTGAGAACTGTAGACTTTTCACTGTGGTCCTAAATAGCAACAGTAAATAGAGCCTTGAATGCCAGGAACTTTCAGATAACCAGCAGCTTCAGCAAGTGTTTGCGTACCTACTAGATGTGGATGGGATTCTAGGCTTTGGGGAAGAACAGTCTTCCGCAGAGACAGATTTACTCCTGGCCTCTAGAGCTTATGTCCTACTCTGGTAGAACAACACATGAACAAGCAAACAGGTAAATATGTAGTGTACTGGAGAAAAGTTAGCTTTATCCATGGAAAAGAGCCAATCAGGATGAGGTGTCTGGAATCCAGAGGAGTGGGGGAGACACAATCTTATAAAAGATAATCAGGGCAAATATCACTGATAAGAGATGGCTGAAACATTTATCTCAGAAATTTTATCTTGGAGTTCTGAGGCCATGAGAAAGCCACAAAGGTGGGTTTCCTAGAGAAGTAATCAGGATGGGAAACAGTACCCTCAAAAGCTCTAAAGTAGACGTCAATTGGGTATATTTCCAGAATAAGAAAACAGGAGTAGATGAGTTAGAGGAATGTGATCGATGAATTCAGAAAGATGCATGACTATAGGCCATGTGGGCCCAGGGGTGACTACAAGGACTTGGAACTCAAGCAAGGAGCTGTCACCAACTGAACCTTCATTCAGTTTCAACCTAATTTTAGACTACAAACAAATTGTGTGTATAGTTTCTGCTAAGACATACTCCAGTGAAATTCGCATGTCTTGCCTAAAAGCATTTGGTATTGCTCAAAACACAAGAATGAGAAGTAAGCTGATGGAATGAAACAGTGAACGTTCCCTTAAATCAACTCTGCACTCTTTCTGATAAGGACTAGACGTCAAAGGCAAGGTTGGAAGGCCAGGACATCACTATCTTTACCTACGTCTGGACTGCCACAAGTCTACAAGTTTCCTTCATGGGAGGTTATAGGCAGAAGGGCCATCTAGTAGAATAATAACAGATGTTCTTAAACCTGATCCCACCTCATACTGGGGCCATCAGCATTTTCACTCCAGTGATAGTGTAATCTGAACTTTCTGTGGCAACCCTCCCTGCCTTAAAAGCTTTGGTTTAGAAATGGAAAACCTAGATTTCATGCTCAAGGTTCATGCTAACTATCACACACAGCATTTCTGGGTCCCCCCCTCTCCTGTGTGGATCTCCATCTCCATCTGGAACTGCTGATTCCTCCTTTGTCATGCTTCATGAGCCAATGTAGGTGATTTTGGTATTTTGGTAAAAAGGATAGTAGCGACAATGTGTGTGTGTGTGTGTGTGTGTGTGTGTGTGTGTGTGTGTGTGTGTGTGAGTGCATGTGAGTGAGCCCACAAATATATGGTTACCCTTGAACTCATGGGTACTCTGGCAGCTTATAGTCAGCGTATCATGCAAGGTAATAGCTAATTGCAGCCCACTGAGACTCAGCAGTAATTAATTAATCTAACAGTGTCCATCCAAATCCGTTCTCTGCTTCTAATGATACTTGTGAAGATTTTTAGAAGTAAATACCTTCTCTAGGGTATAATGTTTTGCACGTTGGAAATTTTTCCAAGAACCATTCATAAAACCTTTTCATAATTTTTTTGACAAATGAATTTCAAATCTTTGACTCAGACCTTGGAAATTTGGCTGTGCTTCTAACACAGATTTTTTTTTCCCCTTGATTCTAGGGAACTTCTCTTGTGTGGAGCCGTACACCAATCTTGTCTGTGACATTTGCCTTGAGTGGCCTAGTGCTCCTAAGATCTCTTCATTATTGCACGTCAGTATTTACCTGTGTATATGTTTTTCCTCCCTTCCTTAAACAGCCATGTTTCACATGTGACTTAGTCTTTAACTCTTTCAATCCCCCTATAATTCTCCCTCTCTTCCCCCTTCTCTCTTCCTCATTTCTTCTTTTTGCATCCACTGGTTTACAAATGTTTGAATACCTCATAAATATTGGGGCCATTAAATAGGAACTGACATAAGGGCAGTCATGAGATCTAAAGGGAAACCTCAATGATAACAAAAGCATTCTGGATGCAAATAAAGTATCTCTGGTTTTCACCAGATTCCGTTTTGCTATGCAACACCATGCAGTGCAATACACTTACATCACTGTGGAATTTTTACAAGTTTCATTGTTTGCTCTTTCAAAGTTCTTTTCCTTATCCACAATTATTCTACAGACTTTCATGCTTTTCAAATTCTAATTTTTAGTTATCTTAAATAACTAGAGAAATGATCATCCGAGTTACAATTACCCTGGCAATTCTTCCCCACACACTGACAGGCAGTGGGCTTTGAGGAAGAAGGGACACAGGCCTCATGGTACCCTCAGTGAGTGCCGTCTAAGGAGAAGTGTAATTTGTCTTCTTGACAGCAGCCAGAGACTTAGAAAACACAGGGCACTGTCTCATTGTATACAGAAAACAGAGAGACAAGAGATAATAACACAAATAAGGTTTTATTTGAATTCTCTTTTAAAAGTCCAAAATGAATATGCGGTTCAAGAGTCAATATTAAAGCAGTTCAAGCAAAAGTAAATACAGAGAGCAGAAAAGATTAATATAGTTTGATAGTGCATTGTAAACCATTCAGGTAAAAAAAAAAAAAAGTCATTAAAACCATATGGAAAGGAGTCTTTCTTTGGAGTCGTTTCTTTCTCAGAGGTCCAGCTTAGATTCTCAGGTCTTGTTCTAGATAGACTAACATCTGAAGAAGGAAGGGATACAGGAGGGGGAGAAAAGGGAACAGGAGGAGGGAGGAAGGGAGAGAAACTAATATTTCATGAGCTTTTAAAACAGAGTCAAGGTCAAACACTTTATCAAGCAAAGTTTAGATCTGTTATTTCATTTAATCCTTATAACAATGTTGGTATCACCCCACCCCTGCCCCCCATTTAAAGATAAGGAAAGAGTCCCATAGTTTAATTCATATGCCCCAGTCACACAGCTGACTTGGTGAAGATATCAGAGCCCAACCCCTCTCCAAATATTTAAAGGCCTCTTCATTACACCACACCTGTAAAGGGAAGATGTCTCTTACGGAATCTTTGGATCTAGGTATGGAGCTAGCCCATTTGAGGTATACCTTTTTTTGGAGATTGGGAGTAGAGAAATCTGGACCACATTCCCAAGAGGACAAATCTGGTTTGTCTATTTCTTCTTTGTTTCAGAAGAAAGACCTCAAAAGTTGTCGGGGGGAAAAGTCACAGACGGTTTGAACGCTGCCTACAAGTGGGTGGGCTATTAAACATTTTCCCAGAGCATGTTCGTTAGTAGAAAAACGGAGGAGAAAATGTATGATAGATAGACAGAAATGCGCAAAGTCGAATGTGCATGTTAATCGGTGGTCAGGAAGATGAAAAAACTCTCGCAACCTCCATTCCTTAGCTGTCAATGCCTAAGGATAAAGACACTCAAGGAAGACCGAAAGGTAGCAGAGCAGTCCACTAGCTCACGTCTCCATCACGTTCCACAGGCTACAGTTCTCTATACTGACGACCCCTTCTTAGTTGATGAATTTTCACAATGTATTTCATGGCTTCCATCCCTACATGAGACTTTATTACGATCACATAGGAATAAAAAGCCATAAAGCACTAGAGTGAATTTATCTTGGTCGGATGGAAAACTTATTTTCTTCACACGACTTCACAACCATTTCCAAGCTAACCAATCATTTCATGCTACATTAGAGAACATTTTAAGCTACATGTAAGTGACACAAAGCAACACTTAAATTTTAACATCACAAATTAACAAGATTTTATCCTTCAATGACATTCTTAGCTACGAAGACCAGAAACAAGACCAGGAGACACTCAGTAACATTCAACCATAGAATGTCATCAGAAACAAAGGACACTGGGGAGAATTTCTGGAGAAAAGCTCATCACTTGGACATTGAACTTAGAAACACATAAGGAGAGACAGAAGACAGACAAATCACTATACAAACTGAAGCCAGGAGAATTATTTCAAGCCTCCTGTCTTACTTTCTTCCACACTCTATCTGTGTTCAGGTATTTCATGTGATACCAAATGGAAAGGAAGAATCTTAAAACCTGTGTGTGCTATATCATCATTAAGCCATATACACCCAAATAATAAAAAAGAAAGAAGAGAGAGAGGAGGAGGGAGGGAAGGAGGGAGAGAAGGAGTGGGGGGAGAAAGGGAAGGAGGGAGGGAGGGAGGGAGGGAGGGAGGGAGGATCAAACCCATAGCACCAAGGGTCCACAAGTCCTGCCTGCCTATCTGAAGCCATTCACAAAGATTGAGGGCATCCCCACCCTTTACTATGGAAACAAGTTTCTAACTAAGCCAGAAACAATGCTGGGTGCTGAAGTTGCTCAGTGATCTAAGGAACACAGGTCCAAACTCCAAGAACATTTCTCATGCTGCATTTAAGTGGCCTTGTTCCTGGCATTATAAAAAACACTTACGCATGGCCGAACCGAAACCCTGAAAGCCTGATGTTGGAATTTTCCATATTTTTCTAGTCTTTCAAAACTCTGTCTGAGGTGCCTATTTACCAACTCCAGAAGCAGCAGCATTCCACCTTGTCAACGGCTGCCCTCTTCATTTAAAAAAGAATGCTGTTCACATTCGAATGTACAAACCCCCAACCACTTGAGTTTTTTCCCTTAAGGGTAAAGTGCTAAGCAAGCTATTTCTACCCAGAAATCACTGGAATGAAGTTTTGGTTTATGTGAATCACAAGGAGACTGGAAATAGTTAATGAAAGGAAGTGCATACATAAATTCAATTATCATGCACGAACATGCAAATGATTTAAGTGCTGCATCTGAAACTCTGGTTGATATTCATTAATCTCAGGTTGCACTTTTTTGAAGGAGAAAGACATGCTAATTGGGTCCAGATTAATGCACTCCCAAACCTCTCCAATTTGTTTTTAGGTGAGGGTTAAATGATATGTGTTAAAGTAAACACAGCTGTTCACCTGTCTCTACCCTTACCTCTCTGCTTTACCTCTACCTCCTCCCCCAGCTGGCTATCTCCCCTGCCTCACTCCATTCCCAGGTGGCTCCCCTCTCCAACACAACCCATCCACAGCTGGCTCACCTTCTCTCCTGAGCCTCTTCTTCCCTTAGAGAAGAGCCCTGCCTTGTTCTTTTTGGAAACACATGGAAGAATGACCCCTCTTCTTAGGCACTTCAATGCCTTCCCTTTCATCAGGAACCCCCACACTCTATAAAGGGGATCATCCAGATTCCTGCCCCCAGTGATGCTTAACTGTGGCACCAAACACATGTACCAATGGGAAAGCAGCCTGGCGTTTTCTCAGATAATGCATTCTTTCTACATGTCTTTGCCTTGGCCCTTTGGAATAGGATTGAAGGATCGTTTGAAAGACGCCAGGCACAGGATTGCTGTGCTGCCAAAATTGCTTAAGGTTGGCATGGCGATCCTATGACTTGGCTGTGTGGGAAATCAAAGACTGAGATCCAACAACGTGGGGGTTTTGCTGCATTCTTTCTCTGTGACTCACAAAGACCCTGGACTGTCCCTGTCCTTACTGCCTAGCAAAATTAGTCTTAAAAGAAGAAAAAAACATTATTACTTATTTATTTACCTACTTGATGAAACATTAATTTGGCCCACATAGAAATGACACATTTGTGGGAGAATAGTGCAATGATGATCTTGAAATAGTAAACTATTATTTTTCTTGAATCTAATCTTTAGAAAAATGAAACAAAGAAGATCTACAGTGTACTGGGGTTGAAATCAGGGACTTTTTTTTAACAAGTAAACATCAAGGGGTTAAAACAGCCATCATAAAGGAGAAAGGAGCTTCAAACTAATTTGACACCGAAGGTGTCGTTCAATTTGAATCCTGATTGTTTGGTCACGTGATGACTCATACCCAATTGGCACCCTCCCTCTCTTGGTGTGAATTGAAAATGATGTGATACATTTTTTTTTTTAAACCTCTTGAAAAAATCCAATGAAAGTCTTGGTCCCATCTTTTGGGATCCTATCCTTTGGCTAATTCTCCCAATGCAAGTTCCCAACAGAGCAGAGACAACAAGAACACACACATACACGGAGACATAAATTACTGGGCACACCATACAGCACAGCACTGCACATGAAGACAGACAGCCGGGGACAGACATGGGGCTCAGAGAGCCTTTCCATCTAAATTGATTTCTGCATATTTATAAATGTAAAATTAGTCATCATAAATAACAGCAAGGGCGGGCGAGGCCGATATTAAATCTGTCAACATCCCCACAAATGCCCTGAGCGTTGCTTGGATGGGAAATACACTTAGGATCGTATTCGCTCCTAAAAGAGAAAATGATTATACGCTAACCAAACCCTAAGTACAAGCTAAAGATATTCACCTCATGAAGCCATTCCTCAACTAGCCCCTTGGCACTCGCTGGAATTATTCGCAGCACGAGCTCTACTTTCTCATTTTCTGCTGTCTCCATGTGGGTAATTTCTTTCTCATGATTAAAAGTGAGCTTGGCAGATCCTTCAAAACGTGGTTTTAGGTGTGGCGGGGCTCCGAGTGCATCCTTTGTCTAAGGTAGGATTCTAAGGACGGACCTTTAGAAGAGCGGGTCTCAACAATATTCATGTACCTAAAAAGATTGTGGGTTTTTTTAAGACAGACTTTATAGATATCTATATTTTTATATATACATATTTTTTGCCCTGAAACATGGGACTGAGAGATGAAATGAACTGTTTACCTTTGAAAGAATAGGCAGGGTTTTCTCTTCCAAATAATCACTCCAGCTTTTCTGAATGTCATCCAGAAGCGATTCTGCCTCCTTCGACTTATCCAACATCTGAGGTTGTGAGATAACCCTTGTAGCATTGGCCTCCTTCCCCGGCCCCTTCATTATTAGCCTCCTGGTGGGTGAGATAGAATACAGTGGCTGTAATAACCCTCCTTCACACAACAGGCTCACTCTCTCTTTTAAATTGAAAATCCCCTTATTACAAAACAAGGGGTGTTCTTTTTCTTCTACCTTTAAGTAGGAATGCCACATTCATCGCTTCTTACAAAAACCGCAGCTGCTTTTTAAGCTACAGATAAATAGAATGTGCTAGGCGGTAATTCGACTCAGTCTGAATGCATTATTTTCCAAGACACTTTGGCAAGGGGCTTTTTATTATAAACTAGAAGGAACAAGGGAAGTCCTTTCTCTCCTAATTATGGATGCGTTTTGTTCCCTACTATTAACCTATACTGTCAGATTGATCTTCTTTCGCTGTAGCCAGTTCAATGAATCAACTTTTTTTTTTTTTCTGGAAAATTAGAGGGCTAATGATTAAGTCTTCATGAACATTAATGATGAAAATAAAATTAGCCCAGGAGAGAAGCAGATGCTAAAACTAAAAACACACAAGGGGCTGTGCACCGGAGACCCAGGAAACAAACCTTGTTTTGACACCCAAAGTTAAGATCAACGGGACAGAGTTGTAAATTTTAACTAATTTAATTTGAATGCAAGGAAAGCGTTGCAGCCATCTTGTCAGCCTGGCTCGTGCCGAAAGGGGGGAGGGGAAATACATCTGAGAGCGCTACTCTATTTCTGCACAGAGTGTCTGTCATACCACTGGTGTTTATTGCTTACTGGTTCAATATGGGTGATAAGGGAACACGCTCACAGTTAGTCTCATGTTTCACTCTGACCCAAGCCGTGAATTAAAGAGCTAAAGCGGAAGAAACTCTGACGAAGTGATCAACTTGAACTTCTACCGAAACCTCAAACACAAACATGGAGAAAAATCGTGAGCTCCTAACACAATCACCAAAACCAAAATGAAAATAGGAACACCAAGAAACTCCATCAACCTTGGTTAAATTTGGATCCCGATGTTACTATTTCCGAGTAGACTATCACGCCCAACCATGGCAATCCTGCTCTAGGTCTGTAGGGATATATTGCCTTGCTAAGGGGGAGAATCCCATAGGGTGACAGTGGGGTTCCAATTAAGGCAAAATAAATGCTGCTGCAGCCTGACAGCAAGAGGAGATTCCCAGTGCATGGGCAGGTGCAACACTCTGAAACCACAGACTGAGCCATGCTGTCAGCAAGCGAAGTACTGAAGAAGAGTTGGGTGTGACAGGCAGTTGGAGAGTGATTTATTCCTGTTTGCTCATATTATTTTAAGTATGTTTCCAAGAAGGTTGATAGTGGCAATCAATGGGGATCTTGAGCAAAGTGCAAAGTCTTCCTTGAACCCTGACTGCATGCATATTTAAGAGACCTCATACCCCAGGGAAGAGAGAAAGAGGGGGCAAGGGAGGGAGAGAGACACTTTTAAATTACATTTGCATTTAAAACTATGCTGGCTCTTTTATGTAGATCTGCCTGAAATTTTTTAAAGGGGTGTATTTGTTTCTAGGGAAATGGTGACAGAATTTTCCAAGTATTCTCTTTAGGAAGATTGTGTGCGCAGTAAATGTTGGTGACAGCCTTCAAGACCTTCCTTGCCACTCTGATTAAATTTGAATCAGTTTCCCATCTGATATGCCTGGGAACACACGATGTGCTGGGCAGGTGCCCACCCTGACTTACAAGCCTGAGTGATGCTGTGGCAACCCAAAGAGCCCCAGTTTACCCTGGCAAATAATGGAGCCCTGTCCCTGAGCCACATCGCGAAGCATATTAGACATTGCCGTAAGAGGAAAATTCAATCCCTGGGTGTCGATATCTCCATTGAGCAGACAGCAAGTAATAAGCCTGCCTTGGAAATCAAGAGTGTTTTTGTTACAGAGATGTTGGAGGCAAATAAGAAACAAATTCTCAGCTGTATGTTTGAAGGAATATAATATTCCCACATATCCTCATAGACAAACATTATTCAAGTGGAAACAGATTTTTTGCACTAAATAGATAAATAAATAGATAGATAAATAGATAAATAAATTACCTCTGAGTACACTCTTGCTTCAGGTTGTTTCCCACACTCCTGTCCCATTTACCCTGGGTGGATATTATCACAAACAGAGATGGGCAAGGTGGATGTGACCTTGTGAGGATGATGTCCGGTCACTGTCTTCTGATACCTGTGTTGTTCTAAAGTAATAAGAAAAAATGTGGTGATAATATGAGCCACCAGTCAGAACTCTTGGCTGCCATTAAAGCGAGTAGCTTTAATGAAGGCAGTTCCCCGACAGAACAAGCCTGGCAGCCCCATTTAAACAATAAATAAAAATTAAAGAAAGAGCCAAAGTGATGCTTCAACAGTCTGGCCTTATTCTGCTCTCTCTTTGGAAAAAGAAAAACAAGAAAGAGAAATAAGACAAAAAAAGAGAGATGTAGGAAGATGAGAAAGAGGATGGAGGCATCAGTAAAAATCAAAGTGCCACTCAGAACAGCTGAGTGATTTTTTTTGTTCTCTTCCCATGTAAAATTAATCCTCTTCACATCCTTCTTCTGCTCCTCAAAACAAAGCCAGTTGCAAATTCTCTAGGCCGGACTTCCTTCCCTCTCTGTGGGACTGCTGTCCTTGTCTTATGGCCTAGGACACCCCTGACAGCTATCTTTTAAGAAACAGCTGGTATTGTCCTTGGCACTGTTATTTGGCTTCTTTTTCTCCTGTGCCTTTCCATCTGAAAGTTCCTTTCATTTCCCAGCCTTCCTAAGAACACCCAGCAAAGTAGACGAGCACAATACAAACCAGTGGTGTGAATTCACCCAGGTTTAATTCTGATAGATTCAAAACACTTTACTATTTCAGTGGTAAGTCTGAATAGTAACTTTATTTTATTTTATGGGTCCTGAAGATAGAAAAGAAAAATGATGTCTTAGGAATGAGACAGAGGCACCACATGCACTCTGTGTTCTCACGGACAAGGCATAGCCAAGTTTCCAATGCAGTAAGAGAGGCATCCCTGGGCTATGTGGTTGCTGTCTTCCATTCCCAAATTCAGGGTTGTGTGCATGCCTCCCACATGGCTGTACACACATATCCACACAGAGCCATGTACACTTACACTCACAACTCCTCAAGTGCACAGTAGCTCCCCTCCAGAAATCAACTGCTTTCATTACATATGAAAACCTGTACTCCTTAATTGGTGAGAAGACACTTATCTTATTTCAAGTAGTGGGTAAAAGTGAATTTTAAAAAGGTGTCATTCTTTTTTTTTTTTAACTTCCTCTCTACTGATGTACCAGCTCACCATATTCAGGTTGTCAAAGGACATCAGGATTGAATGCTACTAATAAGATGGGTTAAGTTCCAAACGACAAAATAGCAGCCTTTGCTCAAACACACTCTGAAGATAACATTTTTAGTTTATTTTAAAAAATTAGGTACTCTTTAAAATGGAAAAGAATGCTATATTATGAATGGTGAACTTTGTATAAGTCCACGTGGTCTAGCTCTTGAAGAACAAAACCCACCACTATAAACATAAAAAACAGATTCTTTCATCCCCTTCCCCCAAGCCTGCTTTCTATATTTTGTTTTGTTTTGTTTTTCAAGGCAAGGTTTCTCTGTGCAGTTTTGGTGCCTGTCCTGGATCTCGCTCTGTAGACCAGGCTGCCCTCAAACTCACAGAGATCTGCCTGGCTCTGCCTCCCGAGTGCTGGGATTAAAGGCGTGCGCCACCACCGCCTGGCCCAAGCCTACTTTCTGAATAGGGTTGTCTGGAACCACCACAGCTTTATGAAGCCATAGATCTTATGTGATAAAACCCAACAAACTGCTACACAAGAAAGAAGAGACTCTAAGATGGGCAACTCAGGAAAAAGGTGTCTTCCTCCTGGTGGCTGCTTGTCCATGGACTCACCTCCCAAGTCAGAAGGGGGCTCTGGGCTGGACAGACCATGTGGCATTCTAGCCAAGGGTCAACTTGCTACAGAAAGCAACACAGGGGCAAGGGATGGGGCGAGGGGATGGTGTGAACTGTCGGGTCTGGAATGTCCTCCAACACCAGAGTCACATTCAGCACGTGACGTTGTGACTATGAACATCTCAGGAGCTCTTTAACTTCTTGTCAAGGCTTCCTGACACCAGGAGCTTTCAAGAGGTCAAAAAAAAAAAAAAATACTGTGTTCCCAGCTTCTGTTTCCTGTCCTCCTTCAAGGAGAACAAGAAGAATGGGGGCCTCAGCTGCCTTTTAACATGTCACACTCGGATAATTCCCTTCCTTACCAGAGAGCTTGTCCATTCCATTTGGGCTCACAGAAGAAAAGCAAAAATCTATTCAGAACAAAAGAAACTCCTATGTTTTTGCCTCTTTTGTATTTTTTTTTAAAGAGTGCCCACAGTGTAGTTAAGTTGAAAAAGTTTTTTTTTCTCTTTTTTATAAAGACCACTGAGGCAACAAATCACACAGGTAAAAACCTGAGATTTAAAAGAGAATGAAATTTAAAAGCTAATTAAATTCAACAAGGGCTTCTCAAAGGACCACATAATCAAATTCGTCTCAGGCTAACATTTCGTTTTTGAAGGGGGCAGTAAGTGGAAAGCTGACATGGTTGTAGATTCCATACTGTGGTAAAATAAAAAAAAAAAATTAAAAAAAACTGAGATGGGGTGAGAAAAGATGAGATGCATGGATTTCTGTACTGACTGAATGCCAGGGCCAGGATGCAAGGAACAGATAAGTTCCAGCTCTGGAGGAGCTAAATTTGAAGGCAGACGGTAAAACGGATTGAACCTTATTACCTCGAGTCCCTGAGAAATTCCCGAGACAGTTGGATGCAATTTGAAAAGGTCAGAAAAATATTTCCTGCACAGCACTGCTTCATGCTTTAAGGGTGTACATTTGTGAGATGCCAACTCTAATCATTTTTATTGACTTTGCTTTCTAGAGACAGACAGACAGTCTGGGAGACAAGACCAGCAGATAAGAGAAAGGCAATCTTACAAATGAAAACCTCTCTTACTTTGTTCTCTGGCTTGTGACTGTGAAAAATTCCAAGTCCTGCCCATTTGAAGAGAAATTACTCCATCTTTCTTCTGTAGGCTGACAAAATGGACGGGCAGTACAGGGAAGCATCAGTTTAACTCTAGTGCGGCTCTTTGCTTTCAATTGCTATTTAGTTCACTCTTACTGTATGCTAAGCACAGGGAAACCTATGGGATGCTGCACTTTACTCCGGGGAAATGATTAAGATGAAATATCAGGAAGTATAGCATCAGCTTTCGGCTAGCATGTCTTTTGAGAGTGGTTGTGGGGAGAGAGTGAAATTAAACAAAGCATACAAATATCCATTGAAAATACGATTCTACTAAAGATTCCACTGCCATTAAAGTCTTCCCCCAAAACAAAGGAAGAATGGAGATTTCTCCCTTTAAATGAGATTGGTGTTCAATAAGGACCTCCGTTAGCAAATATAGTTGTGAGTCTTTTTTTTTTCCTCTTTCTGCCTTTCTCTTCTTTTCTGTTGGCGGCCAATTAGAAGTTAAAGCTGACTTTTCAATACAGAATGCCATGATCCTTCCCAGCTCTGCAAAGTTTTAATTAACATCTGACTTCTCTTTCTGTGGGGAAGCAAATGCAATCCTGTTTACTCTTGTTTAGAAGCAGAGCTAAACTCTTTCATGGCCCCTAGACCTGTCTGCATGCTTTCCTAAGATGTTCTGGACCCACAGGGGCATCTTGGCAGCTCACTAGCCCCTTCCAGCCAGTAAGCTGTCTTTTCCTATGGACAGTCTTCACGCTGATCAGTTCTGCAGCCCTGTTACCCACAGACCATCACAATCAGCAACGAAGGAAGCCAATCACAAGGCGGCTTTGCATAATGTCAAGTACCCTTCACAAAGGGAAGCAGCAAGCTCATTAGTTGGACATCTGAATTCTTAGCACCAAAGGCAGGAAGCTCTTTTTTTTAATTGCCTTTCTTTCAGTATTACCTGAATATTTGGTATTGGTTAGAGATAAGCAACGAAATTCGTAAAATGTTAAAATTTCCACCTTCTACAATATCTTGAAACTTTAAAAAAGTAATAACGTTCATAGGTCATACTAGACCTTTGTGCTATAAGCCTCCATTGAATCATGTTTAACATATGAAGTTTCCTACATTTTCATTTTTACCGTTTTACTTGCAAAAGAAAGTGTTCAGTATCCCTCTCCTTGCACTGTTTATGTTAAGAAAAGTCCAAGTCTTTTACCTGTGAATATCATTAATAACAAAAATAGCAAGAATCATTCGTATTAAAATAGCAGTGATAATAGAAGATAGTATTTAATAGTGTCCATTAGTTGAGCACTTGCTGTCTGGAGCATTCAAAAAACACATTATCCTAGTCCTCTTTAGCCCTCACAGACAATTTCAGTAAACTGAACTCGAGAATGGGGCCAAGGGAGGCCAGAATATTTGTCTAGATTTGAAAATGTGTGGGTATTCAAACTGTGATTCAGACCAAGGCTTGTTTATTTATTGCAAAGCTCTAAGCTTCGAACCATGTTCCACAGGCAGGGAGGAGCCAGGAAGGCCAGTCCCAAGTCACATTGCACACCCTGGGAGGTGTGCTGAGCCAACTTTAACTGCTCTTGATTAGTGAAAGCCAGAGCCACTGAAACTTCACCTCAACTCAAGCAATTGTAGCAGATTGTGGGTAGTTCTGGATGTTTCCCGCCCTCCTGGAACGCAGCTCACAAAGAATACAATATGCCCACAGCAGCCTCCTTAATCAGGTTGTGTGGTTCACAGTTTAGAAGAAGCACCTGATAAATTTTGGTGCCTAATGACACACAGATTGTTGTTTTTATTTGGGTTATCTTTGAATTATTCACTGAAAAAAAAGGAGGAGATGAGGAGGAAATACTTCTTAGCTGGAACTGCATTAGGGCTAATGTGTTAGTTCACTAAATCATTCTTGAGACACGACTTTTGAAGGGGAAATGTGCAGCTGTTTTGCTATTATCACAGGTAAGCAGATAGAATAAAACAATAATAATGATGGGTCACTGGAGTTTTGCACATTAAATAATGCAGGTCTTTGACTGCAGCAAAATGCACCACCACATATTGTCAGATTTCAACAAAATACAATTTTATCATCACAGGATAAACATTTATTTTAGCTGATTTACTAACATATCCCGAGCAATGGTTCATCTTGTTTATAGAGATTATGGCTAAAAATGTCAAAATACTGCTTGGCTGTCTGGTTCACGCTGTTCATGTAGCTAACTTCACCTTGCCTTTTGTTGGCTAGGAACTCCCTCCATTTGAAGAGAGCTTCCTTAAGGTATCAGGTCCCTTGACAGAAAGGGACCTTTTTTTTCCCCCAAGCCTGAAAAGACAATTTCCTACTGACAAAGGTGTCTTGGAGCTCAAGGGCCATTAAAATGAGCCAGTCAGTAGTGAGATACTCCACCTGCTGAGCCGCACTTCAGGCAGAATGATGCTACCCGTAAGGACTAAGAGTGGAAGCCTTTGAAGTATAGAAAGGCATTCAGGCACAGCTATGGACAGGTACCAAGAGGAACAGGTAAAGAAGAGGCTGATGATGGAATGAGCTTAAATCTGCAAGATGGCTTCCCTCCCCGCAATATTTCAGACTCACTGCTTTTCTGCAGGACCAACAATGGGGAGAGTGTACTAGGGCATTCTGGAACTCCCAAAGTGCTCGGAAACAAGAGGAGTCCAATTTCCAACCAAGAAGGAATGCAAAACAATATTCCAAATTGTCTACCTTAAATACATTTTGGCAAGGAATTACATATCAAGCCTATTTATTTTCAAAAGAGGAATGCCCTGAAAAAAATGTTTTAAAGACAGGCTAATTGGCTAATTTAATTTTTTTCAAATAGCAATTTGCTCTTAAGACAAATGACAATTTCATCAAGAAAAATCTCCATCATAAAAGTGCTGGAAGAAATGTCAAGGTAGCTTATCACACAAGGTTTTTTTTTTTTTTTTTCTTTACCTTGTCCTTTCTGTGTGCACAGACTCAGCTGCAGGCATCAACACTATCACAATTAACTGTTTAGAAATAATGCTAAAGAAAGATGGCACTCAATTAAAACACAGTATTATAGCAAGAGAGGCAGTGACACATCCCAGACCTGGTGGAGAATTGAAAACAGCCGTTTCGTCTTTCCTGGACCACACAGAGAAATTTAGTGATTTCTCAAAGCATATTATTAGATTTTTATTTTAATCATTCCTCCAACACTTCAATGTCAGAATGTTAAATGCTTTGTGTACCTGGCTGTCCTTCTCAGGAGGACTGTGGTAGTATGAGAACCCAAATGTTATCCCAGTCCATTTTCTGTGAATTAAAGGGTTCTCTGGAGCATATTATTTCTTATGTTGGGAAAAAGCATGGCTTAAATTTTTCTGAATAAATTTCCAAAATCAAATTTGAAAGTTTTCATGAGAGATGATCCTCCCTGGTGGGTGATGTGAAGCATAACCTGAGGGGCAAACATGAAAATAATTAGCATAAAATGTATTAGCATATAGATGCCTTTGAAATAATAAACAGCAGAAACCCCAAATGCTTATCCCCAAAAGAAAGTGATGAGAAAATACGAAATTAGCGTATTCTTCTTGCATGGCAACTCTAGCTTGAAAGCCAACACGAACATTCTCATTCTGTGAAGGGTACAATGACCAGGGAGGTGGAGAAGTACCTCCCAACTTTTAACTCTTAGTCCTTTGCTTTATTTGGTTATCATCACCATGTGAATATTCTCTACTTATCCTTTAGCTGGTGCTTCCCATCCCCTTTCATCATTAAACAGAAATAAAGCCAACTATCTTCCTTTCACTTCTTTTACAAACCACCAGGGTTGTTTTCCCAACCCCCTTCTTTTATCTGCCTTTCTACAGTTTTCTCGATGGCATACCAAATGCTGGAACTGGTAATTCCTTTACCAAGAGGACAGGGGGGCCTAGTTTGAAAATGGGATACTATTCTGTGTTTTTGTTAGCAATGGTCCACACACTCAAACCAATTCTTTTTTATTTATATCTGTAATAGATGTTACTTCTGAGATAGTAGAATGGTGTAGACTGGCATGGCAGCAGGAACGCGTGGTCTTGGGAGTCAGTCTCCACTTGAAAATCTGTTGTAGCTCACTTTGGAAAAGATGGCTTAACACAGTTAACTCAGTCATCCCTGTTATAAGACACTGATGCATTTTACAAATCAGAAAGATTGCTATGACAAGTACAGGGTACATATGCAAAGTAGGCACTGTAGCGCTGTTTACCTTCTTCAATAACATGAATAAAGATTCCACATTGTGTGATTTTAGGATTTGGTAAGTTCAATGCCATCCCACCTTAGCGTGTGTGTGTTTAGATAAGAGAGTGGCCCTGATGGCATTAAAGAAAGATACTATAAAAGACAATGGATCCATGGTGACACGACATTATAAACATTTACTCCCCCCTCAAAAAAAGTAGACCAAGGAAATAAAGATCCTAAAGCTTGAATTTATCCCATAGAAGCAAGAATGGAACTTCTAGTTGAACTTTGTAACAACTGGCAGAAATTTATGACTCTTTCCCATAGTGCAAGAGATGTAAGGATTCGCTAACCATACTTGAAATTATCTAAATCAAAGGACACAGATAAATCCCTCAAGCAAGAATCCTGTTGCATGATTAAAACACAATGTATCTGTATCTAGACTGCAATGCATTGCTTTGATTTGTTTGTTTTTGAGACACGGTCTCACTGTATGTATATCCAAGGCTGTTCTGGGGTTCTCTATGTAACCCCTGCTGTTCTTGACATCTTCTTGCCTGTGATTCCCAGTTTTAGGGTTATAGGCCTGTACCACCATGCCAGGGTGCTCAGTTTAACAATTAAAAGGTGTCAGTAAAACACTTGGAACCAGAAGAAAGGGAACATCCACCAAAACATCATTTGGCTTTCTCAATTTGTCATCAATTTTGAACTTCTGATGGAAGGCAATTGCTTCACAAAGGTGTTTTTTGGCCTCTTGGCATATGGAAGCAGGAAGGAAACAGATACTGCCAAGCAACAGATTCGACGGAAATTGGAAACTCAGTCTTCGTATATATCTCCGGTTTTTCTACACAGCTCAGGCCTCAGACCTGCCTTTCCGTGACTAACACTGCTTACAGTCAGAGCTCATCGTCATCACAACCTATCTTTCTTATGTCTCATCCATGCTTCACAGACTCCTGGCACACCGGAGTGAAACTGGGAGAGAGGAAATAAAAGCTTGCAATTGTACTTTTGCAAGCTGCTTGGTTGTGTCTATGGTACTATGTGGCTGAGAAAGTTTTCAATGCTCTGCATGAGCAGGTTCATGACTCTGTTTACCTCTTCCCTTTCAAACTGACCTCACTGAACCTCTATTAAGAGACTGACATCATACGTGGGGCATTCCTGCCAAATGTCATTCAGTCCTCTTCTTTCTTCTTCACTGGGCCACACAGAGGCTGAGCACACTGCATTTCAGACTAGTTTGAAAAGGAAAATGTTAACCAGGAAGAGGTAGCGCATGCTTTTAATCCCAGCACTCAGGAGGCAGAGCCAGGCGGATCTCTGTGAGTTTGAGGCCAGCCTGGGCTACAGAGCGAGATCCAGGACAGACACCAAAACTACACTGAGAAACCCTGTCTTGACAAACCAAAACCAAAAAAAAAAAAAAAAAAAAAAAATTAAAAAAAAATGGCAGTAAACAGTCCACACGCTAGTGTGTCCTTGGCTTTCAGGATGCACAGATATTTTGGTGGCCTGCTTGCTGCTGAGAATGCATTCTCTGGCTATGAAGGGAAAGGGCCTGTTCCGTGAGTTCTCTAAGTACAAATCTATATAAAAACTATACTACATGCTTTGCCAGTCACTGGGAAAGATAAAACATGTCCTCTGCTATCCAAACAGGAGTCCAGGTCTAGCAATTGGTTCCATTAAGAATATTCCATGTTCTCAAAGGACTTTGCTTCAATTCTAGTTAGGGACAGATATAATATATTTGACCTAAAGTTGGTTTCAAACTTTAGACCACATGGAAAGCATAAAATAAAAATAAGCCTTCCCTAGACAACTGCTATTGGTTGTTATTGGCTTATTCACCTGGTTAAGTTCATTTTTTAATGTGTAGTGAACTTAGTTTTTCTTTCTCCATTCACATTGGAAGAGTGTTACTAGGCACTTAGGCACTCACACACCCACCAACTCTGTTTCCAAATATTTCAAAACAAATTAGGAAATACAACTTCATAAAAGAAGATGGATTTATTTACAGTTTGTTCTTTTGGGGGTGGCAGCTCCCAGATTCTTTCTACCTTGCCTCTATTGGTATTATAGTTTCATAGAAGAGATGAAGCCAAAGCCAGAAGATGCACATGCCAGTGGAGCTGTGAGTTGGCCTCAGGCAGGGGGGTGTTCTTTCTGGAAGGCAAGCTCCTGCTCTGTACTGGGGCTTCACCCTTAAACTCTACCAGTGGACGATCCCTAGGGAAATCCTAATTCTTTGTGGTCCATTGTGTTGGGGTCCTATTTCAGGTCCTATTCCTATTCAGAATCTCTGAATTCTAGTAACAAGTTATCTAAAAAAGAAATCATGAAACCATTCTCATTTATAAGGGATCTAAAAAAATGTAAGTTATATACACACATATATATATGAAAGACTTATGCAATAAAACCTACAAAATAATGAAAGAAACAGAAGGAAACATCAGATTTTCTATGTCCATAGACTCAGGTTATCAGAATACACACACTGCCCAGAGTAATCTATAGATTCAATAACATCCCTATCAAAATTATCATGTCGTTTTCCACCAAAATATAAAAAAATCTTAAAATTCATAATGTAGCACAAAAAAAACCTTCATTAACAAGAATAAAGCTACTGGAAACATCAGAATCCCTAACTTCAAGATGTACAAAGCTATAGCAATCAACACAGCATGGGGCTGGCATAAAAACAGACACCGAAGCCATTGGAATATACTAGAAAGCCCTGAAATAAACTAACACTTTCAACAGTCAATTGATCCCCAACAAACATGCCAAAAATACACATTGAGGAGATCGCTTCTTTAAACTATGATGCTGGGGCAATTGGGCATCTCTGTGCAGGAAAATGAAACCGAGCCTATTTTATAGCATACAGAAATTCTAAGTGGATTAAAGTCTTAAGTGTAGGACCTGAAGCTGTAAAAGTACTAGAGGAAAACAGAGAAAAATCTCCCTGATAATGGAATAAGTTATGATTTATTACTATTGATGTGCTCTTGGAGAATTTCCTATGTCTATACAATGTGTTTTGATCATACTCATTCTCACTATCCCTCAGCTCCTTCCGAACCACCACTCCACATTTCCCTCCCAATTCCTTATCCTCTTCCCCCACACCCCATAATAACCCACTTAGTCCAGTTAGTACTGCCCATAGGCACACGGGTCGAGGGTATGGTTGTTTTATGGCCTAAAACACAGATAGGAAAAGGAACAAACGGAAATGGTAACAAGCTAAAAATCCTCACATCAGGAGAGCCCATCAAGGGAGGAGCAGCAAAAAATAGGGATGGAGGAAGTATCTGCAAGCTACACACCTTATAAGTAGTTAACACATGAGGCGTAGAGGGAGCTCAAAGACTCAACAGCAAGAAAAGAAGTGACCCAAATAAACAATAGGCAAAAAAGACACAGGAGATGTCTCAAGAGATAACATACAAATAACCAACAGATACATGAAAAAAATGCTCACCTATCACTAATTACAAATTAAAATACACATTGAGAAATGGCTCCGCAGCTCTCAGAATGCTATTATCAAAAGATAATGTGCTGGCAAGGATGTGGGGAAGTGGGAAACTTTGTAGGCCATTGGTGGGAGTGTAAATTAGCACAGCCATTTCAGAACCCGGCAATCCCTCACTGGGTGCAAATTACAAAAATAAAGTAAAATTAGCAGGCTGGTGAGGTTCCTGTGAGTGCGTGCTCATTGCAGCATTCATCACAATAGCTCAGAAACAGAATCAACTTAAGTTTCAATCAACAGATGTGTGGATGAAGAAAATGAGGTATGAATAAAAGCTGGGATGCTCTCAGGCTTTCAACAGAAGAAACTGCCATTTTCAGAAGCATGGATGAAACCAAAGGACAATGTGGGGATGAAACGAGCCAGGCCCAGGCAGATCTCTCTTCTACGTCAAGTCTAAAGGGCTGAACCCTAAGGGGACAACATGGTATCAGGGGTTGGGGGATGGAAGTGGGAGTTCGGGAATGCGTTCAAAGGATAAAACATTTATTTTGGATAAATATGCTCAAGAGCTATGCATTGGACAAAGTGACTATAGTTTAAACAGCACACAAGAATTTTTGAAAGATCACTAAAAATAGATTTTAAGTGCTCCCAACATGCAGAGAAACATCTGTGGGATCGTGCATTGCTCAGCGCGCTTGAGCCATTCTCGGACA